TTAAAGACCTTAGAATCAAGGAGATTGTAAACGAGATTTGCGGTGACCCTGAAAATGTGAGAGTCAAATCAACGACTTTATGTTGGGTATTATCAATAAAGTTATGTCAAGATTAAAGAATAGTGATTTTCAATTGCTTATATCTGTAAGTTTGTGTAACTGTGATTGTTGAACCAAACCTAAAGAGAAAAATTATATACTGTTGTCTCAAAACTTCTTTAGTTTTGGTGTATGGGGGGGGGGGGGGGGGGAGGAGGTTGATGTGTGTTTTACTTTTTGTAATTTGTTAGTGTAGTCACAACAGATTGGTTTGTTTGAAATGGCATCAGACTAAAAAAATCCTATAGAAGAAGATTAAAGAAATATCAAACAGTCATAATTCACACAATGTTTCGTTGATGTTTGAAGGTTTTCAGTTTTTTGGGGCAACACTGCAATGACTGGATCCTAATGATATTTCATTGACGTTATGATCACAAGTTTTTTATGCAAATTTACCTGTCGTGTTCAATAGCTTTCAACATGAAGTTTTGAAGTCTATCAAAATACACGGCTACATCGTGATACAAAATGTTTCAAATTTCTCAGAAAGAGATAAGCTCAAGTGGCAGGGTTCATTAACTCATTCATACTTTTTTCACCAACTTTGATGTTTGGTCTCCTAATACCTAAGGTATAATGTTATTGTTGGTTTTCCCATGAAAGTACAATATTATTTCTTGTACACCTAAGAAATTACAATGTTATTTTTGGTTTGCTCATGGATTACAAGGATATCTATTGCAGTAAAGCTCCTGAAATTACATTGCTATTGGTGCCGAAAGTTTTCTAAAGTCAAAGATCCAGTTTTGTACAAGATGGTTCTAGCATCTTGCTTCCATTACAAATCAAGCCTTATTTGGTGTGTGACTTTTTAGCATTCTAATTTTTCATTTAATGAATTATGGTTCAGTCGAATTTGGTGTAGTTAACATTTTAATTGTATATACACTATTTTCCAGCCATTAAATATAATAATAAAACTATTATTCAAAAAAATAATAATATAAATATCATCGAGACTAAGGATTTTTTTTTCCGAAACCTATATGCTCTTTTCCACCTCTTTGTATCAATTTATTACTATTATATATTACATTTTCATTTAAGTTTTTAGTTATATGTATTAGCGTTCATATAAAATTATTGCCATGCAATTTTTGGGTTATTTGGTATAAAATTATATTGTCATGCAAATTATTTTGTTAATACTTTTAATTTTTTAAAAATTCTTAATTTTATTAATTTTTGGGTTATTTGGTATGAAAAGTTAAATTATTTATTAATTTTGGTAATTTTTGGGTTATTTGTATCATAATTTGTTGTGTTTATTTTAAAGATTATATACAAATATTTGTTTGCCAATGTATGATTAGATAAATTGTTTTTTATTATATAATTTTTTTTATTGTCAACCGTGTTACACACGGATTATAACTTATAACTTAGTAAACTACTAAACATCACCGTATTTTAAAAGAATACCCAAAACACTTCCAATTGTTGAAAGCAATAGAACCCTCATTAGTCCTAAATTCAGCCACAAAATTAGGAAATGCAAAAATGGTAGGATTTAGTATTTTAAAAGAATAGCTAAGACAGAACCCGAGATTTTGCAGAGAACTCTAACTTCCATAAATTAAACAAATAAAGAAACTTCATTTTCGAAAAGAATCACATATCCAGATGAAAAAAACAAATGGAGTCCCAGTCATTGCGGCCACTGCTGACTCCCCATTGAGCTCGTTAGACGTCATTTTGAAGACATTTTTTTATTCGATTTTACACAACAGATATCAATAGTAATATCATTTTGAATGCACTAAAAATATCTTTCCAAAATATACTTTCATAAACAACTAATATATAATTATATACCATTTATTGTGTATTTATGACGAATTATGTAAATGTGTTAAAAGTAAAACAAAGATAAAAAAATAAAACAAAAAAACCAAATGTGATCACTCTCTAATAAATTAAAATCTTTTTTGCTACATCTCTACATGTTATTTTCTAGAAATTTTGATTTTTCTATTTTCCATTTGTCATTTTATTAAAATTTTCATTTTATTAAATTATAATTCCATATTTAATATGTAAGGTAATATATATGTAAGGTATTTATTAGTAAGAGTTTATATATGTAACGTATTAAAGCCTCATTAATTTTAATAATTCAAATTTTTTTTCATTTTTCTTATAAATTCAAACATCTTAAATTGTTAAAATTTCATATTTAATTTTTTTAAAATAATCATTGTAATACATGGGTTTCATACCTAATATGATAAAAAAACTTTAGTCGTAGAATTATAATGTTCACATGGACCATTGCGCATCACCACAATGAAAATGGTGGAGTTTTTTTACCAAAAGATGGTGAATGCAAAAAATATTTCCCACACAATGGTAATTTGATATTTATTTATCAAAACATGGTAGCAGTGTTTACCCCACAATTAATTATATATATATATATATATATATATATATATATATATATATATATTAAATCACAAGGACCTTAGCAACAATATCTTTTTGGATTTAAGATTTTTGCCACAAATATTTGGTGAATTTGACGCTTTTCGTCCCTAAAGTCAAAACTTTTACATTTTTGCGTTTTGATAAAGTTTTGTGCCTTCAGGTTTTTGCCACAAATCTTTAGTGACTTTGACACTTTTAGTCCTTGCAATAAAAACTTCTACATTTTGGTGTTTTTTCCACAAATCTTTAATGAACTTGACACTTTTCGTCCTTCTACTCAAAACTTTTACATTTTGATATAATAAACACAAAAAACTACCTTTTGAATTTTGCCACCATATTTTTCCAACTTTGACAACTTTAACATTATTACCACAACATTTTTCAATTTTCTCCACCAGTGTCCCTTTTTTTTGTACACTTTTGACGTCTAATTTTTGGAGTTGTTGACTTTCTCCCCTATTTGTGGTGATTTACTATTTCAACACATATCTTTTAAAGTTTGCCGATTTTTCCCATATTACCCCAAAAGCGGCGTAGCCGCGAGCTCTTTACTAGTTTAATTTAAAAAAATAAAAATTAAAAACAAATGAGTCCTCCTCCTCCACTCCTCCACTCCTTTTTTCCCCCTTCCCACCTCGACGGTTCATACCTGCCAGATCAAAAAGCCCACAACCGTTAACTCGTTTTTGTCGTCATCTCCACCCTACTTATTTTTTTTGGAAAGATGTCAGTATGCTATTATTGCTTATTTGTTTTAATGGCCATCCTTTGAAATTTTACAATCTTTTGAATGTTGCAGATTTCTATTCCATCCAGGAAAACTAAAGGTTTGTTGCTGTAATTGCAAGATTATATACTTTCATCGTACGATGTTCAAGTCTAATGGTCTGGACTTTTTGGTATCCAAAAACCTCATATTTCATATCAAAATGAAGCATCAAACAGTGTCCTCTAATGTTATGCCAAACCCAGCAATTCCCACGTCCAAATTATCTTCTTCTTCAACGATCGCCCTTATTTTTTCAAGTTAAAAAGATAACTCAGCGCATCACCAGAAGATTGCAAATTTCGCCGTTAAATCTGAGGTTTATTTACGGAGTATTTTGCAGCGAATAAAAAGATAAATCAGTTGCATCTCTTTTGCTATAGGTTGTTGGAGCCATCCATCTGGTGATGAATCAAACAAATGTGGAACAAAATCACAGGAAAGTGTAACTACTCTTGGCGGCATTGGGCGATAAGGCCAAGAAGGAGATGATGGATGATGGATGATGGCTTTGGTCTTTCGTCCGCATAAATATTAGTAGGAATGGTATTAGCAATTTTGAACGGTGGATTTGGGATTGACACTCTCAAGGCAATTCCGACGAAGTGCACCTCTCAAAAGAAAAAAAAATTGAAAAGTCATAAAAAAGAATTAGTAACTATAATTCCGTTTGTCTCTTTAAAAAAAACTATAATTTCGTTTGAAGTTTCAAACTACTGTATCTTAGTAAATAAATATAAAAGTACAAGGTTTTGGTAATTTTTTTTGCTAACTACTATGCTGGCTGTAGAAAACTCGAAAATCGTGTACCATTTCATCAAGGCTGTGTTTGGCGCGCCACAACTAGCTGATTATCAGCTAGCTTATTTTTTGAGCTTTTTTATGTTGTCGTGTTTGGTAAGCCAAAAAGTATCTTATAAGCTAGCTTTTTGAAAAACTACTTAGACTAGCTTTTTAGGAGCTTTTTTAAAATTGTCCAAATACATCCCTTAATTAATTGAACACATATTACTACTGTCTTTTTATGTAATTTTATACATTTCAGCTAGTTTTACCAAACATTATTTTTTATCAGCTAGCTTTTCAGCTATCAGCTAGCTTTTTATTTAACAGCTAGTTTTTCAGCTATCAGGTAGTACGCCAAACATAGCCAAACTTTTTAAATTAGGGATGTTATTCGGGCCTTATGCGTTTGTCCTAACTAGTGGAAACCCAAAACTTTTCAGCCTTGTCAGATGTGGAATGAAAATCGTGTACCATTTATTGTGTATTTATCGTTTTATTGGTTTACGTTGCAATTCTCCATTCCATTCCACGAAATAATTTTCAAACATATGATAAGAATGAAATAATTAGAAAATTCAGAAAAAATTTATAATCTGGTGACAACTTTGAATTTTGATTATGTGAATAAAAAAACCTATATCATCAATACAATAATGTAAGTGTGTTGCCTATCACTAAAAGATGGTTATGAATGCCTCCAAGTTTAGGAAATGTGATTTCAATGTCTCCTAGATAGTCCAACAGCCACCAGACCAAATTGCAACAAAGGAAACAACAGATCATTCTAAAAAAACATGAATCGATTGATTTAACCGCAAAGAAATAAAAAAAAAAGAAAAAGAAATCACATAAAAGTCCATTATCCGGGATTTCAGTTGGCCTTTCAATTTCCCTAGTTTGTCTCAAATTCTCAAGCTCAGGGGAAATACCACCATGCAGCAACTGGCAAACAAGTGAAGCAATCTGTAAATATCTTCCATAAAAGGACATTGAATCTCCTTTTACATTCGTCATAAAACCCATAAATGCGGTTGATTTTGGCATCTTCATGGTTTCCTCTTAAAAGAAACACTTTATCCGGATACCTGATCTTGTATGCAAGAAGCAGACATATGGTCTCCAAACTTTGTTTGCCTCTGTCAGCATAATCACCAAGAAAGAGGTAGCTTTCAGTGGGAGGGTAGCCACCATACTCAAAAAGCCTCAATAGGTCTAGGTATTGTCCGTGTATATCACCTACCATTAACAAAGATTGAATAACATGAGCTACATTAGGAAATTATATAAGTAATTTTAGTAGTATATGTATATAATCAGTTTTTTATTTTATTTTATTTTATTTTATTTTTATTTTATGATCAATGAGGTGAGAATATGAGCAAACACAAAACCCCCAAACCAAATAGTTCAAACAACGGCACCAATTCACCATGATAATCATCATTAAAACTAAACCAACCCCAAATCAGATCAAATACAAAGAATTCCTTTAGTAATTCGATCATTAGGGCACCCCAATAGAACTCAAAATTACATAGAACATGGGCAGAAATCCATCATACACATCTGCAATTGAGCGTCATAATTACGAAACGTGGCGGAGAGAGGAAAACGTCTCAGTAAGAAAATTGCCCGACTTGAAAACAACGTCAGGTCCAAAAGATTACTGACGGCGGTATATCAGAGTCTCCGTCGGCTGACCTGCTCTGCGTCGCCTCCACGTCGGCAACCTCGCACCTGCATCACATCGACACCTTTTGGGTTACATTGTGATCCAAATCCCGAGGAAGCATCGGGGTGAATGGATTTGAAAGACGATAGAGATAAGGCTGAAAGGAGTCGGTCGCTACAAACACTCGTTAGGAGCTCGCTAAGCACGCTATACACCACCCCGTAGCGCATGTTAGGAAGCTCGCTACCGGTGAGTCGCTAGGTGTATAGCGAGAGGAGAGAGAGAGTTTGGCTTGCTGTGATTGGTGCTTCTAATCGGATCCCATTTCATATTTGACAAATTCATAAAAAAAATCTCTCCGATTTTAACAGTTGGGAGGTGTGGAAGCTTCAACTTTTGTTGCTAAGATTTTCGTTAAACTTACTGTGTGCGCTTAACAGAGAATTGGGGAAGAAGATAATGAATTTACATATTTTGCCCCCAAAGTTTCAATAGCTTGTTATTTTTTGTCCTAAAGTTTAAGCGACTTGATATTTTTGTCCAAAAACAGAAACGTTTTTATTTAGTATTATGTTTTAAATTAGTGTAGCCTTTTTTAATTTAAATACTAAGTGTTTTTATTTAAAAAAATAGAATTTAAAGCAATATTAAATGTTTATGTATTAAAAAAATATAATTTAATTAAATTTGAAAAAGAAAAAAAAAATGAATGTTAGGAGTGTTACCACTCCCTTTGAAATGCTAAGAATTAGGTGTTAAGACAAAAAAAAAAATGATGTGGCACTCAAAAAATTGACATGGCAAGGTGCTAAAAGTGTTACCACTCCCTTTAGCCTAAGGTGAGAATTAAAGCAGAGACGATACCATTGGAAGGGAACGACAACGACATACAACAAAGCAAGCGAAATCGGGTCTAAATCAGCCGCCGACCACCGAAAGTAGAAATTTTTCGTGTCGCTCCCTTTCACCAGCCTACACCCACCACAATCGGCACCCAAAACAACCACTCTTTGCAAATCAAGCAGAAAGAATACATAAACCCTAGAAAAAGAAAGAAACAGAACTACTACAATGGCATAGCAGAATATGGAAAATTTGAAAAGTGGAATCGATTAGGAATCTTACCTCGGAGGTGTAATTACGCAGGTAGACACAACAGAAACCGAAAACCGCGAATCTTCGGTTGTTGGTTTTCTTGGTGAGGCGAAGTCCAAGAGGAGGTGGTGGAGGACGAAGATTATCAACTGTTATGGTGAAACCGACGAAGAGCACCGTCAACGTGTATCGAATACTCGTTGGAGGCAAGAGATGGAGAGGTTTGTGGAAGAATGGATGAAGCCATGAAGCGGTGACTTATCTGGGGCAGCGAAAGGGTGTAAAGCCGCAGGCTTACAAGGGAGGGACTAAAGTGCACAATTTGGAAAGTGATGTGGTCAAAGTCTGAAGCTCAAAAACAATAGTTCTTCCTCTCATTGATATATATATATATAATATATATATATATATATATATATATATAATATATATATATATATATATATATATATATATAGAAGTAGGTTCATGCGAAAACATAAATATCTTGCGAAAACGCAAAAACAGATTTTATCTTATAAAAATCAAACACATGTACTATAAAAAATAAATTTATTAGCACTAAATTAAAGATAATAAGTTTACATTGGATTGTGTTATGATAATATAGGTTTAAAAACGTTTTTAATAATTACTTTTTTTTCACGTCCTTAACCATTTTTAAATTCACTTTTTCATAATAAAAATGTCAAAAATCATACTTTGCTAATATTAAACAATTTCTCATCTATTATTGATTATCATCATGTATTTCAAAGTTTGGATGAATTATTGTCCAAAATATAATGTTGAGGTGACACAATCTCATAGGTTTTTCTTGTTTTCGCGTTTTCGCAAATTATTTGTATTTACGCATGAACCCTCCCTTATATATATATATATATATATATATATATATATATAGTGTTAGGTTCATGTGAGACCACTAGATTTTGTGAGACGGGGAGACCAAATCTTGACCACTCATCTTGAATAATCAAAGGCTGATATTAATTTAGATTAAACCATAAAATAGGCGGTGGCATTTTTGTAAATTAATGGAACTTTGGGATTAGATCAAGACATGGAGGGGCAGGTATGGAATTTTGCATTCTTTTTCGTTCAGCACACAAAAACACCCGGTATTCTTCCTAAAAACCCTAGATACGAACACTAAAACCCATTTGATACAAATCTCGATCATCGACATCTTCTGCTTCCTTCAAAAATTTGTTTCAGATTAATCATAAAATCGGATCAAGTTCTCGAGCATCAACATTCCTGAATCAAACGAAATCGAAGCTTGGTTTTACAATAAATGGGTCATTCAGAATCGGATTCAGATTTTACATCTAGAGTTAATCCAGGTGACGTATAATACTATAATTTCTTCTTGATTTTATATCTGTGAGTGATTTTGAGTTAAAATATTCTAATTTCTTCTCGTTAAAACCCTAAAAATCGATTACGATTCACTATCATTTTGATTTTCAATGTTCTGATTCATATTCTGATGTTGAATCGTGATTACATTTTGCTTTCATCGATTCAAAGTTCGTTCATGATTAAACTTTGTTTCCAATCTCTCAATAAAAACACAAAGAAATTGATTCTGATTCTTATCCTAAAAACTACGATTTCATTCAACCAAATCAAATCTCGGGTACACCAATTTGAAGATCTTTTTTCTAATAGAGCATTAATCGTGGCTCATTTTGCTAAAATTGATTCTAATTCTAGCTCTGGTTTGTGTGATGATCCGTTAGAAGTAGTCCATTCTCAATCAAAGGCTTCAGATCTAAGTTTTCATACAAAAAACTTCCCCTGGTGACTTAAAAGATCCAGAACATGAGGAAATTACATCTATTGCAGGTATTTTAGATTTCAATAATTGATAAATAAGGTTTTATCTCCTTGTAATGTCTTAATAATATTGGATTTGCTTATTTGATGAATTATAAATTTGATTTTAGAAGTAGATTTGTTGATTAATGACATGACCTGGTACTAAATCTGTATAATATGGGTTGATATGTTAGTATTCCAAATGTTCTTATATGATTCTGATTTGTATATGATTTTGATTTATATTAATCAATGGATTATCACTTTAATTTTTTTATTTGGTATTTAATTGAATCTCTTGTATGTTGTAAAGATTTAGAATGTTACTAATATTTGATGTTTGTAGTTAATTTAAGTTAGTTAGTTTCATATTCATCACAACAAAACTCTAAAATGATCACAAAAATGGCTTATTCTACACAATCATATTCTGATTATATACATGATGAATCTCCACTTTGCAAAACATGAACTTTTATAATTCCACTAAAGTCTATATATTCTGGAATGTTTTTATGTGATATTCTAAATCTTATATGAAGTATAATGTATGTTTTAGTCGAATACTATGTATATTTTGGATTGCTATTTATTTTATATATTCTTGATTGTTATTATGCTAAATTTTAACTATTCTAATTATTATAATGTATGTTCTAGTAAAATATTTTAGATATTCTGAAATGTTATTACATGGTATCTTGTTAGTCTATGAATTGAAATGTGTGTTTTAATATAAAATTATATATATTATGATTGCTATTATGTGTTTTTGTAAAAATTCGAAACCCTAGAAAACAGAATCGCCAAGCTCAATTTTCATCTATTTCTGAATCAACACGTTTTTCGTGATTATAATTTGTTTCAGATTTCATCACGATAAACACTAAACCGGTCATAAAAATGCTTCATTCTATCAATTCATATTCGTATTATACACCTGATCATTCTCCAATTCACAAAACATGTATTGATTTTTTCTATATTTCGACTATAACTTGGTAATAAAATTATTCCGATTTACGTAGTTAGGGTTTATGATATAGTTATTTTGATTTATAAATCAACAACAATTCACACATTTGTATTCTACATGCTCTTGAGTTATCCTTGATTTTGATTCTGATTATTCAACGATTATGATTTATGAAAGATTTTTTATGAAATTTTGTACACTAGCTACATTTAACAATTAATTTATAACATCATATAATTTTTTTTCTAGATTTTTTTTACAGGTGTTTGGACTATAATTTAATCTGATATGTTATTGTTATTTTGCTTATTAGTTGATATTCTAGAAAAAAGTTTAATAAGTTGATGTTTCATAAGTTGATATTCTCGGTATTCTGATATGATTTCATATGTCAGTTCATAACTTTATTTTATTATATGATATAGTGTTTTATAACATTGAAGTCTAATTGTTTACGATTTCTTTAGAGTTTATGATATAGGTTTGTTGTATATAGGTTTTGCTATGAATTTTAGAATTATCTAAGATGTTATAAGTGTCTGAACTATAATATAATCTTAGATGTTATTGCTATTTTGTTGCTTATTTGGATATTGAAGAAAAGTTTAATAATCTGATGTTTCATAAGTTTATATTCTAGCTATTATAATATGACGTCATATGTTACTTCATAACTTTATTTCATTAGATGATATAGTGTTTTATAACATTGAAGTCTAACTGTTTTTGAATTCTTTTACATTTATGATGTAGTTTTATTGTCGACAGGCTTAGCTATGAATTTCAGATTTTCAGAAAATTCAATACCAAAAAGTTGAGGATAAATGATTCAAAGAAAGTTCTCAAACAAAGTAACATTATGATTTCAGTGAGGACCATATGTGAGTTATTTCAGGTATTATGTTAATTATTTATCTTCTGGTATAAATTTAGTAAAAAGGTTTTTTCAATTTTGATACTCTACGTATTCTTATTAGTATAATCTAAGTTCAACTGTTA